TTTGCTTTGCTTTGCTTTGCTTTGCTTGTTTCCTTTTGTTTGTTTGTTTGTTTGTTTGTTTGATTGTTTGTGTGTGCGTGTGTTTTTGTTTGCTTGCTTGCTTGCTTGCTTGCTTGCTTGCTTGCTTGCTTGCTTGCTTGCTTGCTTGCTTGCTTGCTTGTTGTTGTTTGTTTGTTGTTTGTTTGTTTGTTTGTTTGTTTGTTTGTTTGTTTGTTTGTTTGGTTGGTTGGTTGGTTGGTTCGTGTTTGTTTGTTTGTTTGGTTGGCTGGGTGGTTGGTTGGTTGGTTGTTCGCTTGTTTGTTTGCTCGCTTGCTTGCATGCTCGCTTGCTTGCTCGCTTCTTCGTTTGTCTGTCGTCGAACCACTGTTTTCAACGCCTGGGCCTAAACTATTGTCTGGGTTCCAGTCACCAACCCAACAAGCGAAGGCTTGTGGTTGTTTTGAACGGGTCAGTTGAATGTTTCCCAGTGAATTGCGGTACACACTCGGGGGTGCACAACATTCCGGCGCAACCCAAGGTTTGTTTGTCTCTGAATTCAGCTGAAAATGAGAAAGAGTGCCCTTAAAAACGACATCCCCAAGTCTTGGCCCAACCGCAGGGTACACCTCAAGAACGACATCCCCAAGTCTTGGTCCAACCGCACAATACACCTCAAAAACGACATCCCCAAGTCTTGGCCCAACCGCAGGGTACACCTCAAGAACGACATCCCCAAGTCTTGGTCCAACCGCACAATACACCTCAAAAACGACATCCCCAAGTCTTGGCCCAACCGCACAATACACCTCAAGAACGACATCCCAACCAAGTCTTGGTCCAACCGCACAATACACCTCAAGAACGACATCCCCAACTCTTGGTCCAACCGCAGGGTACACCTCAAGAACGACATCCCCAAGTCTTGGTCCAACCGCACAATACACCTCAAAAACATCCCCAAGTCTTGGCCCAACCGCAGGGTACACCTCAAGAACGACATCCCCAAGTCTTGGTCCAACCGCACAATACACCTCAAGAACGACATCCCCAAGTTTGGTCCAACCGCACAATACGCCTCAAAAACGACATCCCAAGTCTTGGTCCCTCAAGAACCGCAAGTCAATACACCTCAAAAACGACATCCCCAAGTCTTGGCCCAACCGCAGGGTACACCTCAAGAACGACATCCCCAAGTCTTGGTCCAACTGCACAATACACCTCAAAAACGACATCCCCAAGTCTTGGCCCAACCGCAGGGTACACCTCAAGAACGACATCCCCAAGTCTTGGCCCAAACGCACAATACACCTCAAGAACGACATCCCCAAGTCTTGGTCCAACCGCAGGGTACACCTCCAGAACGACATCCCAAGTCTTGGTCCAACCGCACAATACACCTCAAAAACGACATCCCCAAGTCTTGGCCCAACCGCAGGGTACACCTCAAGAACGACATCCCCAAGTTTGGTCCAACCGCACAACACACCTCAAGAACGACATCCCCAAGTTTGGTCCAACCGCACAATACACCTCAAAAACGACATCCCCAAGTCTTGGCCCAACCTCTGGGTACACCTCAAGAACGACATCCCCAAGTCTTGGCCCAACCGCAGGGTACACCTCAAGAACGACATCCCCAAGTCTTGGTCCAACTGCACAATACACCTCAAGAACGACATCCCAAGTCTTGGCCCAACCGCTGGGTACCTCAAGAACGACATCCAAGTCTTGGTCCAACCGCACAATACACCTCAAAAACGACATCCCCAAGTCTTGGCCCAACCGCAGGGTACACCTCAAGAACGACATCCCCAAGTCTTGGTCGAACTGCACAATACACCTCAAGAACGGCATCCCCAAGTCTTGGCCCAACCGCTGGGTACACCTCAAGAACGACATCCCCAAGTCTTGGTCCAACCGCACAATACACCTCAGAAACGACATCCCCAAGTCTTGGTCCAACCGCACAATACACCTCAAAAACAACATCCCCAAGTCTTGGCCCAACCGCTGGGTACACCTCAAGAACGACATCCCCAAGTCTTGGTCGAACTGCACAATACACCTCAAAAACGGCATCCCCACGTCTTGGCCCAACCGCAGGGTACACCTCAAGAACGACATCCCCAAGTCTTGGTCCAACCGCACAATACACCTCAAAAACGACATCCCCAAGTCTTGGCCCAACCGCACAATACGCCTCAAAACGACATCCCCAAGTCTTGGCCCAACCGCACAATGCACCTCAAAATCGACATCCCCAAGTCTTGGTCGAACTGCACAATACACCTCAAAAACGGCATCCCCAAGTCTTGGCCCAACCGCAGGGTACACCTCAAGAACGACATCCCCAAGTCTTGGTCCAACCGCACAATACACCTCAAAAACGACATCCCCAAGTCTTGGCCCAACCGCAGGGTACACCTCAAGAACGACATCCCCAAGTCTTGGTCCAACCGCACAATACACCTCAAAAACGACATCCCCAAGTCTTGGCCCAACCGCAGGGTACACCTCAAGAACGACATCCCAAAGTCTTGGCCCAACCGCTGGGTACACCTCAAGAACGACATCCCAAGATATCCCAAGTCTTGGTCCAACGGTCCAACCGCACAATACACCTCAAGAACGACATCCCCAAGTTTGGTCCAACCGCAGGGTACACCTCAAGAACGACATCCCAAGTCTTGGCCCAACCGCACAATACACCTCAAAATCGACATCCCCAAGTCTTGGTCCAACCGCACAATACGCCTCAAAAACGACATCCCCAAGTCTTGGCCCAACCGCGGGGTACACCTCAAGAACGACATCCCCAAGTCTTGGCCCAACCGCACAATACGCCTCAAGAACGACATCCCCAAGTCTTGGTCCAACAGCACAATACACCTCAAGAACGACATCCCCAAGTCTTGGTCCAACCGCACAATACACCTCAAAAACGACATCCCCAAGTCTTGGCCCAACCGCTGGGTACACCTCAAGAACGACATCTCCAAGTGTTGGTCCAACCGTTCAATACACCTCAAGAACGACATCCCCAAGTCTTGGTCCAACCGCACAATACACCTCAAAAACAACATCCCCAAGTCTTGGCCCAACCGCCGGGTACACCTCAAGAACGACATCCCCAAGTCTTGGTCCAACCGCACAATACACCTCAAGAACGACATCCCCAAGTTTGGTCCAACCGCACAATACGCCTCAAAAACGACATCCGCAAGTCTTGGCCCAACCGCTGGGTGCACCTCAAGAACGACATCCCAAACGACATCCCCAAGTCTTCGTCCAACCGCACAATACACCTCAAGAACGACATCCCCAAGTCTTGGTCCAACCGCACAATACACCTCAAAAACGACATCCCCAAGTCTTGGCCCAACCGCTGGGTACACCTCAAGAACGACATCCCCAAGTCTTGGTCCAACCGCACAATACGCCTCAAAAACGACATCCCCAAGTCTTGGCCCAACCGCAGGGTACACGGGTACACCTCAAGAACGACATCCCCAAGTCTTGGTGCAACCGCACAATACACCTCAGAAACGACATCCCCAAGTCTTGGCCAACCGCAGGGTACACCTCAAGAACGACATCCCCAAGTCTTGGTCCAACTGCACAATACACCTCAAAAACGACATCCCCAAGTCTTGGCCCAACCGCACAATACACCTCAAAATCGACATCCCCAAGTCTTACTGCACAATACACCTCAAAAACGACATCCCCAAGTCTTGGCCCAACCGCAGGGTAGTCTTGGTCCAACCGCACAATACACCTCAAAAACGACATCCCCAAGTCTTGGCCCAACCGCAGGGTACACCTCAAGAACGACATCCCCACGTCTTGGTCCAACCGCACAATACACCTCAAAAACGACATCCCCAAGTCTTGGCCCAACCGCAGGGTACACCTCAAGAACGACATCCCCAAGTCTTGGTCCAACCGCACAATACACCTCAAAAGCGACATCCCAAGTCTTAGCCCAACCGCAGGCTACACCTCAAGAACGACATCCCGAAGTCTTGGTCCAACCGCACAATACACCTCAAAAACGACATCCCCAAGTCTTGGTCCAACCGCACAATACACCTCAAGAACGACATCCCCAAGTCTTGGCCCAACCGCAGGGTACACCTCAAGAACGACATCCCCAAGTCTTGGCCCAACCGCAGGGTACACCTCAAGAACGACATCCCCAAGTCTTGGCCCAACCGCAGGGTACACCTCAAGAACGACATCCCCAAGTCTTGGCCCAACCGCAGGGTACACCTCAAGAACGACATCCCCAAGTCTTGGCCCAACCGCAGGGTACACCTCAAGAACGACATCCCCAAGTCTTGGCCCAACCGCAGGGTACACCTCAAGAACGACATCCCCAAGTCTTGGTGCAACCGCAGGGTACACCTCAAGAACGACATCCCCAAGTCTTGGCCCAACCGCAGGGTACACCTCAAGAAGGACATCCCCAAGTCTTGGTCCAACCGCACAATACACCTCAAAAACGACATCCCCAAGTCTTGGCCCAACCGCAGGGTACACCTCAAGAACGACATCCCAAAGTCTTGGCCCAACCGCAGGGTACACCTCAAGAACGACATCCCAAGTCTTGGTCCAACGGTCCAACCGCACAATGCACCTCAAGAACGACATCCCCAAGTTTGGTCCAACCGCAGGGTACACCTCAAGAACGACATCCCAAGTCTTGGCCCAACCGCAGGGTACACCTCAAGAACGGCATCCCCAAGTGTTGGCCCAACCGCAGGGTACACCTCAAGAACGACATCCCCAAGTCGTGGCCCAACCGCAGGGTACACCTCAAGAACGACATCCCCAAGTCTTGGCCCAACCGCAGGGTACACCTCAAGAACGACATCCCTAAGTCTGGGCCCAACCCCGGGGTACTCCAAACAATTGTATTTTGAGATTCGTAAAAACAATTCGCTTGGGAGACCCCAGAAGTGGTTTTTGTCGGCAGCTCTCCCGCCCTCCGTCTAAGCGAGCAGCGGGTCGGGCTCCGGTCACCACGCAGCCGGCAGGCGCAACGTCCTGCACCCCTCCAGGAAACCAGACGATGAAGAAAGACAAAACCATGTGCCCCTTTGCCCCAGATTGATTCGCCAGATTCGCCTTCTGGGACTTCAGATTTCTGAACATGTTCAGAAGTCAATACCAATTCAAAATGGTTGCATTCGAATACATACGCAGTCCTGAGTTTGAGGCATTGCTCATTTGCAACCCAACATCATACTTGCAAGGGTTGATAACTATTCCTGACCCCATAAGAATAGGTCGGAGCAACCTACAACACAAAGCCTTGCGGACCACGCTCGGATTCAAAAACGGCCTGTGGCAATCCAGAGAAGCGGGCAGAGTGGCCTATGTAAGCTGCACACTGGTCACACTGGTCACACTCAGAGTCGGGGCGTGTGCCAGGACATCGGCAGAAAAGGGCCTACATATCGATTCCCTTGCTGTGTTTGACAGCCCCAAAGATAGCAAGGATTGTTGGCAAGCCATGAGCATTCACGACATTGTAACCTTGGTCTTGTGCTGCTATTAAAACAAAAAAGAAAAAACACTATGTAACTCATCTGCACATACAAGCTCGCGAACTGTCTCAAAAGGCACTGCGAAGAATTCTTGTTGCATGTGGAAAGCCGTCACTTAAAAGAAACACTCGACCGATGGACAATGTTCTGTCTTTCCCCAGACTTCTAGTTGTTGCTAGGAAATGGGGACTGCAAGCGCGCTTCCGCTGAGGAACCATCAACTGCTGGCAAAATGGACGTCTCCCGAAGTTGGGTAGCCACAAGCGGTTAGTTCACCCCAGCCAAGCAAGGGGCGCTCAACTGGGAATGTGCCCACTTAGTGGCATGGGTTAGACAAACTGACAGGCCACCAACTGGTTGAAAGATGGAGGGCGACACTTCCAACCCGCTATCAGCTTAAAATAGACTATGGCGGTTTCACATGTGGGTTTCATTTTTATAGGAGCCGTGGTAGGCAAGCCACCCTTGATTCACTCCCTCCCAGGTGATCTCTGAAAGCGACACTAGACCCTCGCAGCGAAGTGCATCTCACGCCAGTCCTTTCCCTTTGCCCGATCCGTGATCTCTTTCTCCTGCCACCAAGTGAAAGCCCGGTTGCCTTTTGAGAACGCCAACACCTGCAGGCACCTTCCGCGCTAAACTGCGGTCTTTGAGGGGATCCAAGTACATAAATAGGCATCGCTGGTTGACGTAGACCTCTCTATGATCCGCTTTGATCCAATTCAACCAGCCTGTTTCACTTGACTACCCTGGCTCTGGAAGCTGATATCCCGAGGCTGAGCCATGAACTGTGCCGTGCCTTGACTGTTTGTGATGAAAGTGACCGACATGGCACAAGCTAACTGTTTGCATATGCCAACTATTTATGGATGGGGGAATGTTTGCTTCTTAGCTGCACTTGGTAGCCAAGCAGGTTTGTGGTGTCTGTCAGGTTTGTTGAAGTAGCAGAATCATGTTTAGAGCTGAACACCGGCGTGCCTTCAGCAGCAATTCACCCTCTTATGCATTGCTTACCTACCTCCCAGCAGTGCCTACCAAAAGTCACACAGTGCACATTGTCACATGTATACAACAGGATTGCTAAACATGCATGAGTTCTACTTGTTTCTATGTCGGCCTGAGACATCTTGCTCTGTGGATGGATGTCAATCTTTGACATGATCCTCTCCTGTTGAAATGGCGGGCATTTCGATTTCACACCACGGGATTATACCGCTGTCCAGCCTCTAGACCCAAGAACGCCTACACAAATCAAAGCCTTACTCACCCTTGCTAAGTACTTCTCTAAGGATTTGTGGGGGTGTTTCACTGGGAGCTAAAGGTGTGGCAGTGCTCAACATAAAAACGCCCACGTCTTGACTTCTCCTGCTCCAATCTGATCTCCTCCTTGGTCTTAGCCGCCGCCTTGAACACCTGCCGTGCAAGAAAATGAGAGTTGAGAGCCTTTGAAGGTCTTCCTTACCGTCTAGATGGTTGACAGGGTGACTTAGCGGATGGGACAGAGAGTCCAACCCCTCTCACTGCTTGCGGGCCGTGTACTCATAAGCTTGCATGACATCCTCACACTGAAATCCTCCAACAAGACGCTGCCGAACAAACATCTGCTGAGCTTCCTCATCTTATTCGCAGAGTCCCCAAGACCGCATGGCTAACCCGCTAGGCAGGTCGCCGCACCGCCAATCCAGCCCCCGCTCCTTGCCCCGCACCGGCCTTCTTTTGCCACCCAGCTGCTCGAGTATCCAGCACGTCCTGCAAACGGCGCTCGTTGTTGGGAAACTTGCTGTATGATCGGCAAAGGAAAGCACAACCAGCCGTTTACTCACCCGCTGCAGCTTGCAGCAGAAAAAACAACAACAGCCCCGCACTCGTCTTGTTCAACGGAGGACATCATAACCCCGCAATGCCTTGTCAAAACATCGCATACAAGCTTCAACACACCCGGTACGCTCAAGCTCTACACCTGTCCTTTTGGGCCAGGGCATGCCACTAAATAACAGCAATTGTCGGAAACAATTGTTAGAGTTTAACCACTTTCCTGAAATTGCTGTCTACAAATCTACCACAATGTGGTGTCTTCATCAGAATCTGATCATGGCACTCACTCACTCCGAGACGAGCATTGGCTAACTTTCCTTGCCCACCTACACGCATGCTCGGCCTGCACATGTTTGACGGATTGCAGGCGCCGACTGACAGTCAATAGCAGGCTCCTCGAAATATTGGCTTCTCTTGCGGCTTAAAGCCGTAATACGCCCAGTTGCACAAGCTTGATGAAGCTTTCGAAACTTCCAGCTTGTCCCCAGCCAGTCTTCAACACACCGGCCCGCCTGGATCATGAATTGCACCTAGGCCAAAGACTTAACCCTATCAACCCGGAGCGCAAAACCCAAAGAGCTCTGGCCCTACGGGTGTTTAGAAAAGACCTCTACGCTCTCGCTTGCGTCGCTTGCGGGCCGGAGCTCTCCCCCCTGCCTTCATCTCGGTCTGTCGGGAGTTCCGTCTTGGGAACTTGTGATTGCAAGGGCCGCAAGGGTGGGTTCGCCATTGAATTTGTTACTTTCGCAGGTCCAAAGAAGGAAAATTGAGGAACTCCTGCGCCAACAACTAACATAGGCCAGCAAACTCACCCCAACTCCAGACTGAGGGCTGAGGGCCCGCTTCAATTATCTCATCCCTTGGATGCGGCCCAAAGCAACACCCTCTCACCAAAAGAATGGCTTGAATGGCAACCCCGGTGATTTCTGAGCGCAAAGAATAAATCCCCCAACCCTCTCGACGTTTCCCATGCTGGGCTTCCCAGCGCCCAACATCAGTAGGGTTCTTGGAAGTGTTCTGAGAGAAACTTTTCTGGGGCTATGGAGGCTGCTAATGTCTCTTTATGAGGCAGGACAAGATTGCGTTCTCTGCTACGATGTGAACCTGGGTGCTGCGTAGCAGGCTGCTGTTGCTGCCAATCATTTTGAGTAAACCATGGTGCCAAAGGGGAAAGTGGCTGATGCAGGTGCTGGCCTATCATAGCGGCTAAGTCCTTTGGGCGTGGGTCCTGAGACAAACGAAAATATGCCCGCCAAGCCCTGCTACTTTCTGCCAAAGGCACGCGTTTGCAGTATGCGGCCTTGCCGTCCTCGCGTTTTCGCTTCATCAAGTCCTTCAGGCGTCCGCAAACCTCACAGGAGTTGGCCGGTTGGGTTGCCACGGGGCAACCAGGACAACCCCCAAGCTGAAAAGGACCCCAAGGAAGGAACCTTCACGGGTGAGGTCAATGTAACTTCGTTGCAGCAACTCCATCAGCGTCCATGGCAGCTTTCGGCTCGAGTGGGCATAACTTGCATGTGGCGATGGGTTGTATCAACCAGGAATCTTCAAGATCAACACAATGTCAAACGGACTTGGAAATTAAGACCAAGTGGTAAGGGTCACTTGAAGAAAAGGTCCGTTGAGACCTGGCCACATATGGGTACCCATATGGCTTCTGCCAATCCACGTCCCGGAGAGGCATCGTCCTGGTTGCAAGGGTCTCAGTCTCATTGCAATCAAAGCATATTTTGGGACGATTGACACTTTAAGCTGCGGTTGTTTCACAAACAGCTTTAAGTCAGTCTGTCAACAGCAAGCTCGGAATATGGAAAATAGCTTTCAATTTTGTATGACATAGACTGGTCTCATGCTTCGAAATTGTGTGTCATCCAGTGCATGAACAAGGGTATGCATGTCAAGGCCATTGCGCATGACTCTGTCAAGCGTTGAAGCTCACCAGCGAACATGGCAACTGGGCAAACACATTTTACAGGCATGCCCTGTTTCCTTCCACACGCACACCTACGACATACAAAAAAAACACTCCGATGACCTTGAGCCTGGTGGGCATGGCCGGTGCCCGAAACAGTGGATCCTTTTGGGCTGAACGCCAAGGTTAGCTTGCGCTGCAGCCGGGCCGCAGATGTCAAAGCTGTCTGGCCTGCGGCCATGTTCTCCATGGTGTAGCCTAGGGCAGTGCAAAGTGCAACCTCCCTGTCCTTGAAACACAAACCGAGGGATTCCACTGGCAATTACCGGATTCGAACTGAAATCAGCGGAGCCAAATTTTCTCGATTTTCAACTTAGAGACTTAGCTGAGGACATGCTCTCCGCGAACCTCCGCGAGCTACGAAGAAATTGTCGCCAAAAGGTAAACTTGGCAGTGATCCCGGATTTGGGGGATTCTTCCCCATGCCTGAGCAGTTTCAAATCACGCCAGCTACAACAGGGGATCCCAAAACTGCGGGTTCCTGGTTGGTTGGTTGTTTGGTTGGTTGGCTCCTTGAAAACCAACCCCAAAGGGCACCCGCACAAATGGCACACAAACTGACGGCTGGGATCGCGGCCGATCGCCAGCAGCAGCTCACAGGCGCATTCCAGGGCGTGCTCCTGTCAAGCCAGCCAGCCAGCCAGCCAGCCAGCCAAGCTCTAAAACCGCTCCAAACCCCGTCACTGCCCCAAGACTGATCAAATGACAGAATGGGTACGTGTTGTGTCATTGTTTGAGGGAACCCTTTTTCGGCTTATAGCAAAAAAGGGACGCCATAAAAGGCATTTTACCTACAAAAACACAGCCGGCAGAGCGCTGAGAGCCACGAGCATCCAAGAAAACAAACAGAGACCACAGCAACCCACAACAAGAAGCTCTCCCCACAAACATGGATTTTGACAAACAAACAAAGAAACAAAACAAAACAGAACAAAACACACAATCCAAAAAAGACAACAATCAAAGGGGAGAGATTGCATCCCAAGTGAGCCCGCTAGCCAATGAGTTGAGAATCCTGGCACCTGGAAATGCATCAAAACAAGCTGGAACCCGAACAATGCTTCCGACTGTGGCTAGTTCTCTGAAAGCACTGGCCGAAATCGAACCTGGGTGTTCGACCCAGATTCAAAGCTGGCTTTCCTCGGGGAGATCTTCCACCTGCTCGCACAGCACCAACTCGCCTCGCATGGCACCGAGAGAACCACCCAGGGATTCCCAATCAAGGATCCTCAAAAGGACCAAGATGGGCCAAGGGTTCCTGTGACCAAGCGGTGCGGCGTCTCGTGAGAAGTACCCAAAAACATTGGCTTTTGAATCTACCAAAATAGGGATAAAGAAAGGTTTACATGGGCCTTACAAACGACCAAGTAGTCCCACCTAGTCAAATGGCCAATAGGAATCGGTTTCGGGAGCTTCTGTCGTGCCTGTGATTCTTTGCCAGGGTTGTGGGAAGTGCTTTCTGCAAGATCAGTGGAAGGCCTTCCCGAAGACTTCGCAGGGAACATGTTTGGCTTCACCAAAGTGGGAATCCACCCCTTCCCGCGATGTTTCTCGGCCCGCCCTCTGTGGTGGTTCGTCCATCTTAAGATATTCAATAGTTTCCAAGACCCCGGGTTTGCATCCAAGGCGCAAATCACGCTGCCGATGACCTTGGCGGAGAGGAGCTGTCGCAGGAAGAGGTGCCCAATGAACTTCATGTTGGCGCGCATGCGGTCCTGCATGCGACATATGTCCACATGGGCTTGCCCCCTTCTGCTTGGTGACCCTGGTCAAGTGGTCAAGGTTTTTGCATCTGTGAATAGTGTCCGACCACTCAGCTGAGTCACATTTTGAGCCGCTCCTTGCGCTTCTTGCGCAGGAAATCAATCTCCTCGTGGTCCAGCTTGGCCTTCCTTATCTATGCACAGGGCAGGCTGTGCCCTTGCACCTGCATGCAGACCAGAGGCAGTGACTGATGCTTTAAGGGCTGCACAACCCCTCCGTTTCTTGTGCCGGGGCCGGGCCAAGCTTCTGGAATCTGTCCTCAATACAAATCCTCTTGCAAGCATGCTATGCGATGCTATGGAGGTCAGCATAAAGCGCTCCCTGCGAGCTTTGACTGACAGGACCGTGTTGGAATAATCCCTCCTTCTGACAGGCCCCCGAGTCTTGCTTCTTCTGGATTCCGCAAATCCAGCTAGTCTGTGGGTGAGGTGCCTTTTCTGAGCAGATCTCAGAACTTTCTAGCGGTTGGGCGCTATGCCAAGCCACTCCTCCTCCGTCACGTCCCCAGAGGTCAGCAGCTGCTCAAACTCACTCTGGCCTGCAAGTTTCCGGCCGTCCGCTGACCCAAAACAAAATGCGAGCCCTGTCTTTGCCGACGGGGACACCAGGGTAAGGCGCTTGCTTGTTTTGCGGGATTTCGCCCTGAGATGTGAATCAACCTGAGTCCTTCTCTGGGATTATGACCTGAACCAGGCATGACAGGAGTTCCAGCAACATGAAAGAATTGCGCTTATTGCGGTGTCCCAGGCTGTAGCAGAAGCAGTCTGGGATGATTGGGACTTGGAATGGCTAGTCGAAACCAAACAACAAACCTTCAAATTGCAGGTATGTTACCAATATGGCCTGGGGACGCTAGATGGTATTCCAAAAAAAGGCGGCTCGAACATGTTCAAGTAAAAGCAGTCTCGACCGTGTCATGGAGCATGCACATGTCGTGCTTCCAGCGCGTGCCGATCCCAATTCCCCAGGGAATTGCTTCGGGAGAACATCGAGCTCCATCGTACTCGTACTTTCAGGCAAATGAGCTCGTCCCGAAGCAGCACAACCCCAAATGGGGTGCTTTTTTGTTGCATTTGGTTGCCCTTAACAAACAGATATACACAAATGCCCTGCCATGGCTGCAGTCCGACATCTGGTAAAATTTGAGGCGCTTCCCGGGCCCCACATCTGGAACGGTCCGGATTTTCCGAACCTACGAACTACCTGAACCCACCTGAACCTTTCTCCGTTCGTCCGACGTTCCCCTCATATGTGAGTCGGGTCGAACATAGCCTTTTGATGGACACCTTATAAATGGAAACCCCAAAGGGAAATCCCACCAACTCCAAAAGTTGCCCGAGGCGCAAATGTTCAGCACCAGGCCCTTGAAGGTCACTGGCTTTCCGCCGTCCGGCGCGGGGAAGGACGGGTACACCGCCTAAGCGTGAAGGACAAGCTCCGAAGCGCAGATGTCTTCGCCCCGTTGCCCATGTCTTGCGGCGTGTCAAAACTGACCCCTTCAAACCCCAAGGCCTATGTAGCAGAAACTCCTTAGCAACGGTACCAAACGATCACCCCCAAGCAATTCGAATTGAACACGAATGCCGAAACCTCATGTTCACTGAGATCACTTGCCCGGCCTTCAGGCTAAAGACCATGTCAGCGTAGGTCTCGCAGTAGTGCGGCTCCGTGATTGCCTCATGGCAATGTCAGCTTCCTAAACATGAGGTCAGCGACACCCCTCCGACAAACACCGACGGCTTCTGAGGCCACAGACCTTCTTGAACATCAACTCGATAATGGCCTGCCGCCAAGCAAGCTGAGCTGGTGCTGAGGCAAGTTGGGTAGATCTCAGGATACAACGGGAACGCGCCAACACCTAGGGAGACTCAGTTTGACACAAAACGTTTTGTTTAAGCATCATTGCTGCACTCTTGTACCTAGTATCGCATGTCGCATCGCAGCCAGGGCGCCCCAAGCAGAGCAGCCCCACTCCAGCACCGCTATATCAACAGCTGAAGAGAAGACTGGAGGCATGTCAGTCACAATAACAATCCTTCGTTCCCACACGCACACGCCCACAATGGAACTACAAGCTTATTTACCGTCACGCAGCAATGTTGAAATCCTCTTGCCTTCTTTGTCAAGCACCAAGTTGTGTAGCCTGTTCGAGTTTGCTACTTATCAATGTTTCGAACGTTCAGCTTTCGCAGCACGCCTGTATTGCATTCTTCGGCCATGTGAACTGCATTATGCGAACCCCTCAGCGCCCCAGTCAAGAGGACGGGGCATGGAATCCAGCACTCGTTGCACGTGAGAGAAGTCCCCCCTCCTTTTCCCAAAGGTTTCGCACGCAGTACAAGAGAAGACTTGCTTTATTCATTTCTGGTTGCGGACCAACCAGAAGGGAACAAGGGCCAAAACTCGCTGAATGGTTCCAAGAAATGAGGGTTTGTCATGTGCCTTACGACCCACACCCACAGTGATGCGTGCCGACAAAAAGGAAACCAACTATTCTATGGGACCACTTTTGAGAAGACCCGCCAAAGGGGTTCGGCTGGCACCTCCAGCTGCGTGATCTCCTCAACCTTGATGGCCGCAATCTTCTCGATGATGGAGGCCACGTTCTCCGGGCAGATCTTGTTCAGCAGGCCTGGCCCATGCAAACACTGGGCGCCAAATCAGGGTCTCGAAAAAATCAAACAATACCTATCCCCTTTTGGTTTGTATTTGGGTACTTTGAATATGTTTTCCCATGCAGCACTCAGGACCGGCATTTTTGGCAGTGGCAACTGCGCACGGGAGAAACAGCACCCGGCTGGTGGGCCGAACAGGGCAAGAAATACTACCTCCAATGACAGCTCAATTCGCCCAGCTCCAAGAATAATGCAAATGACACCCAAAAAAGAGTTGGCAAGCCATGTTTGGTGAAGATTGGCACCTGCGGGAGCAATTGCCTCAGGGCCTTCGTAGCCGAAGGCATCTCTGAGCAGGCATCTCTCTATATTATCATTGCTTCAGAGTTGGTACATCAACGTGAGGGGCTCTATCGAGATTTGTGGAAATCTTCACCTCGCCACTTCTCTACCAAAGCAGGGCCCAGAATCCCACTTTTCCTCGTGGTGGAAAAGCATGTATGACACCTCAACTGTACCCAATATGGAAGGGCACAAAGAAACAACATGTTCTGATTTTGTGCCAAATGTGTACCCAACCTCATATGAAATCTCCGAGTCCTTCACACTCTCACGTGCCTTGCACCTGGCGCTTCAGCTCCTCCTGGGGGTTGCTCTCCTTCTTGGGCTTCCACGCGTTCGCGGAGGGCGTCAGCTGGACCGGCGCCGCTCGCCTGGGCCTGGCAACCCAAGAAACCGGCCAGGCTGGGTACGTCTCATGGCGCAACCTCCCCCCCGTCCCGTGAATTCCTCGCAGCTCAGGGCCTCAGGGGGTGATCTCCTCTCAGTGCCCTTCAAACTGCAACCCCCACCCCTTGGGGGCTGTTTTTGCAAAAAAGGGCAGGCACACTTTTGAGGTGTCAGCATTTGGAGACAAATCCACATGCCTGCCCTTTCAAGGAGCCCCACAGATTCCGAGACACACCCACCTTTCCACGCAAGAATAACTGGGAGCGCCACCTCTTGAAAGCTATCCCATGGATCTTTACACGGAAGGCTGCGATTACCAGGCTTGCCTTCTTGGAAAGTGCCCAGGTTGTAAATGTCTTGAAAGCATCCATCTGACGCTAGTCCGTGTTCAAGCTACAAGCAGTTGCAGAAGTCGCAACTACAAGCTCGCCCACAATGTCGTTTGGGTGCACTTTGTGTGTCTGTTGATGTTGCAATGCAATCTCACAACCAGTGCATTCATGGTCTACTTGTCGTGTGCGTAGGTCAAGCAATACTCAAGCAACACTCCTTGGCGACCTGGCCAAAACGATCCCAAACGCACCAAGAAAACACGTGTGCAATGTATGTGCGCCATTTGAAATACATGACATGCCAAACATACATTGGACGACATTCCCGCTGAGGGATAACATGCCTAAGCGACGAGTCGATGAGTCCGTGTCGCCCCCGCCTCTCCACCTGAGCGGAGACCTGCCGCCGCATCGTGCCCGCAAAGCCTTGGCTGACGCGACAAGGAGTCGATACGTCAGAGCGAATAAATTGGATGGCAGATCCCAGGGCACAACTTCTCAGCAGCTTGTACACCGATTCTGCAGCGGCAATGAGAACAAAGGCAGCCGTTTTCGCCTGGCTAGTTTGAGCTGGTTTTGGCTGTGAAAGAGGGGCGCCTCACGAAAAGCAAACACGAGCTTTGATCTCGGACTCTCATGGCTTTGGCTTCAGCCATGGGCCAAAAAGGGGGGGGGCGGGGGAAGCCCTCTTGCCGCGGTCGTGGGAAGGTTGGCCACTTCGCCGCGGGGCTCTTGCTGGGCACGGGCTCTGACTGCTGACGCATAAAGCCCTCGTCCCTCTTGATGGCCGCCTCCCGTGGAGACAAAGAAGAGAGGGAGGAAAGTCAGCGATTTGTTCATGGTAGTTGGGCCCAGAATTTTGGTGTATTGGTTGAACCTTGACCATCCACTGGCTTGCCCGGCGTGGATATCGACGATTTTGCAAGGCAGGTTGCTTCCGTGAGTTACGCGTAGCCTTCAGATTGACAAATTGACAAGGGCATCACTCCAGGCAGTTCCCAAAAACCGCAAAAACAACCAGACCCTTGGCGTTCATTCCAAACCAAGCCAGGAACGACCCTGGGATTGAGCAGTCTTGCTTTTCTAGCACTTCTAATGGACATTCCGGGTGCCTGAGTGGCTGGGAGGCTCACAACCTCCACCACGTAGTCCGGGCGCTCATCTTGCGGGATCGAGTTGCGGTAGCTCAAAAGCTTGCGACGCACCTCGCAGGCAGAATGCGCTTCGGAACTTCACCCCCCGATGTGTGCCCAAAGCCAAGCCAAGTGAAACAAACTGGGGCACGTCCGGTCAAAGCTATTGCGGGCATCTTTGAAAGGACACATCCTGATCGCTTACCTTGCACAACCTGGCCGCCTTTCCGCCGCTGTCCAGGTTTTTCCGAACCCACAAGCACACGCTCCCTTGAAGCTTTTGTCAAACAAGGACAATCAGGGCACATCGGTGGTCTGCCATTCAGTTGGTAGGAGCTAGGAGTAGATGTAGGACGTAGGACGTCTTCATGTTTCTACCATTGCGATACCAGCCACTGCTAGACAGCTCCGACAAACGCCCGGCGATCGTTGCATTTGTCAATCAACACGAGAAGCCGTAGCATTGGTAAAGTCAAACAAGCAAGCAACTTGGGGTACATGACGGGCATTGAAGCTTGGTGCGATTGCATTGGCTATGCAGGCTTACTTTTTAATCAGGCGAGCAGCACATTCGCTTCAATCATGTCTCAACGACTGGAGCTTAAGCTTCCCTCTGTCCAGACTTTGTCCTGCGCTCGCTGGATTCCCGAGCGCGGCCTCAAGGAAGTTCGTCTCAGGCAGGTCCGGTGCCTGGCGGGCTCGAAACGCAAGGGCGGGCCCAGTTTGAAAAAACAGTTTGCTGAGCTCAAGTCGCGGCTCCCAAAGTGAATTAAAGTGATAGAAGACTGAAAACACAGACACACAGAACACGCTCGCACATACAGACAGAATACAAGCTGAACTCTGCCAGAATCAGAAGCCCCATTGCACACACATTGGTATGACACCGGAAACCCGAAAAGTGCCAAAATCAGCAACCAAGTGTGATGGGTGCTGAGCATCAATGAATCAAACTAAAAGAAAACTATCAAGAGCAGGCACGGCACATGATAACACAATCGCACAAACACGCACTAATACAAATTAATCTTAATCTGCTTTGCCTGTTGCGTTCCCTTTAAGCGCACATGTTCCTTCTGACTTGCAGTCTTGCACTCGGATCTTCACATTTGCTTTCGTTTTTGACATCCCCGCAGCTGCAAGCACATTCATACGCCTGCATTCAAGTTGCACTTCAAAATCACAGGCATTTTGTACCGACTGTTTTCTCCATGGGTGTGGGCTATGAAAGGCTTGAATTGCGGGGATGCGCGCCTCTCTACGAATTGGCCCACAGCCTAGAGTTTGCGTCACGTGTGCGAGCACATTCGTGGCTTCCAGACCTTGTTGGTTGCTTTTCCTGCTTTTGGCGTTCTCAGGTTGTTTTCCTCTTTTTTGGGGGTCACGGATTTAGGTCTGGGATTTAGGTTTAGGCTTTAGGTTTAGGATTTAGGTTTAGGGTTTTTAGGTTTAGGGTTTTTAGGTTTAGGGTTTTCAGGTTTAGGAACTAGGTTTAGGGTTTGGGTTTATGGTTTTTAGGTTTAGGATTTAGGTTTAGAATTTAGGCTTAGGGTTTTTAGGTATAGAAGTTTTAGGTTTAGGGTTTAGGTTTCGGATTTAGGTTTAGGATTTAGGTTTAGGGTTTTGAGGTCTAGGATTTAGGTTGAAGACTTAGGTTTAGGAATTTGGTTTAGGATTTAGGCTTAGGGTTTTTAGGTTTAAGGTTTTTAGGTTTAGGATTTGGGTTTAGGATTCTTCGGTTTACGGTTTATAGGTTTAAGGCTTTTTAGGTTTAGGATTGTTAGGTTTAGGAATTGGGTTTAGGGTTTGGGTTTAGGGTTTTGAGGTTTTACGGTTTATAGGTTTAAGGTTTTTTAGGTTTAGGGTTTAGGTTTGGGATTTAGGCTTAGGGTTTTTAGGTTTAGGTTTTGGTTTAGGATTTAGGTTTTGGCTTTTGGCTTTGGCTTTTGGATTTGGTTCTTGGCTTTTGGCTTTGGCTTTTGGTTTTGGCTTTGGGCTTTGGCTTTTTGGCTTTTAGGGTTCCTGCCGCCGGGATGTCTTTTAGGGTTCCTGCTGGCGCCTTTTAGTGTTCCTGCTGGCGGGATTCCTTTTAGGGTTCCTGCTAAAAAGATGTCTTTTCGGGCTCCTGCTGGCGGGGCGCCGTTTAGGGTTCTTGCTGGCGGGTCTTTTAGGGTTCCTGCTGGCGGGGTGCCTTTTAAGGTTTAGCATTTGGGTGTCTGATTTGGGTTCAGCAACGAGGTCACGGATTTAGGTCTAGGATTTAGGCTCAGGATTTAGGTTCGGTTTATTTAGGATGTAGGCTTAGGGTTTTTTGATTTAGGAGTTTAGGTTTAGGGTTTAGGTTTCGGATTTAGGCTTAAAATTTTAGGTTTAGGATTTAGGTTTATGGGTGCTCGTCTACTGCCCGTCTAGTGCTCGTCTACTGCCCGTCTAGCGCTCGTCTAGTGCCCGTCTAGCGCTCGTCTAGCGCCCGTCTAGTGCTCGTCTAGTGCCCGTCTAGTGCTCGTCTAGTGGTCGCCTAGTCCCGCCTAGTGCCCGTCTAGCGCCCGTCTAGCGCTCGTCTAGCGCCCGTCTAGCGCTCGTCTAGTGCTCGTCTAGTGCTCGTCTAGTGCCCGTCTAGTGCTCGTCTAGTGCCCGTCTAGCGCTCGTCTAGTGCCCGTCTAGCGCTCGTCTAGTGCCCGTCTAGCGCTCGTCTAGTGCCCGTCTAGTGCTCGTCTAGTGCCCGTCTAGTGCTTGTCTAGTGCCCTCGTCTAGTGCTCGTCTAGTGCTCGTCTAGCGCCCGTCTAGCGCTTGTCTAGTGCCCGTCTAGTGCTCGTCTAGCGCCCGTCTAGCGCTTGTCTAGTGCCCGTCTAGTGCTCGTCTAGCGCTCGTCTAGTGCTCGTCTAGTGCCCGTCTAGTGCTCGTCTAGTCTAGTGCTCGTCTAGTGCCCGTCTAGTGCTCGTCTAGTGCCCGTCTAGTGCTCGTCTACTGCCCGTCTAGTGCTCGTCTAGTCCCCGTCTAGCGCTCGTCTAGCGCCCGTCTAGCGCTCGTCTAATGCCCGTCTAGTGCTCGTCTAGTGCCCGTCTAGTGCTCGTCTAGTGTTCGTCTAGTGCTCGTCTAGTGCCCGTCTAGTGCTCGTCTAGTGCCCGTCTAGTGCTCGTTGAGTGCTCGTCGAGTGCCCGTCTAGTGCTCGTCTAGTGCTCTTCTATCCCCGGAAATTTTCTAGAAATTTGCGGGGGTTGTGCCCTCCCTAGAGCCTTCTGGCGCTCGTCCAGCGCTCGTCTAGCGCTCGTCCAGTGCTTGTGCTCCGTCTAGTGCTCGTCCAGTGCTCGTCTAGTGCTCGTCTAGTGCTCCTCTACTGCTCGTCTAGGGCTCGTCTGGCGCCCGTCCAACGCTCGTCTGTGCTCGTCTAGTGCTCCGTCCAGCGCTCGTCTAGTGCCCCTCTATCCCCGGAAATTTTCTAGAAATTTGCGGGGGTTGTGCCCTCCCTAGAGCCTTCTGGCGCTCGTCCGGGCTCGTCTAGCGCTCGTCCAGTGCTTGTCTAGTGCTCTGTCTAGTGCTCGTCCAGTGCTCTGTTTAGTGCTCGTCTAGTGCTCGTCTAGTGCTCGTCTAGTGCTCCTCTAGCGCTCGTCTAGTGCCCGTCCAGTGCTCGTCTGTGCTCGTCTAGTGCTCCGTCGAGTGCTCCGTCTAGTGCTCGTCTACAGCTTTGTCTAGCCCCTGCGCTTCAACAGGCCTGTCTAAAGGAGGCCTCTGGAAAGAGGCCTTGATTTGTCAAGAGGCCTTGTTTTGTAAACCCGGAAGTATCCATGGTAAGTATCCACGCCTTTTCAAGGCCTTTGGCCCCTTATTCCTGGCCCAAAAAACATGGTTTTGCATTGGCTGCATATGGTGCGTCACCCACGATATCGCTACATGTTGTCCTTTGTGCTCTCAATCTCTGACATCTTTGCCTCGCATTGCTTTGCTCCAAGGCAGTTGTTTAAACGGACGAACTCCAGTGGAGTTACGATTCCATGCTTTCCTTTGGAGGTGTCGGCCCAGTTTCGGCGACCCTGCATTTTTCGTGGAACAAACGCCACGCTCTTGCACGAAGGCTGCAGTGCGCCCAAGCAAAAGGTTGGGTTCTGGCAGTAGCGTCATGTGGTCCGGCTGGGTTTTTCAGTGCTGTCCTCTCTTTTTGGCATTGCGTCCACGCCTTTTTGAGGCCTTTCCACGCCTTTCTGAGGCCTTTCCACGCCTTTTTGAGGCCTTTCCACGGGTTGTCCACGCTTTGTCCACGGTCCAGCTGGTGTTCTGAGTCACGTCGCTGGGCAAAATGCAGCACAGCGTTTTGCTGACACAGGAAACAATTTGCAGATCTTGTTGTTAGTTTGGCTCCAATTTCTCAAGCAGATATCTATGAAGGGGGGCTTCAAACTAAAGAGAGTCCCAAACAAGATGTGCAGCTATGATTCTGCAAAGGGGAGTTTTTGGCTTTGGCTACTCCTCGAGACCCTTCAGCTGAGGCATGCGCAAATGCATGTTACACGCATTCAACAAAATGCCAAATCCGTTCGAGTAAATGTATTTGCCAGAAACTGCACGAGGTGGCCACCCCCAACTTTTCAAGGCCTTTGCCCTTCCTTTTCGAGGCCTTTGCCCTGACTTTTTGAGGCCTCTGCACACCCGATTCAAGGCCTCTGGAACAAAACAAGGCCTAGGCGTAACAAAAGGAGGCCTTGGAAGCCCAGGGTAGCGCTCATCTAGTGCTCGTCTAGCGCTCGTCCAGTGCTCGTCTAGCGCTCCGTCTAGTGCTCTGTCTATTTGCTCTTCTCTGCCCGGAAATTGTCCAGAAATTTCCGCGGGTGGCTCCCCATTCCGGCGCTCGTCCCGTGCTCTTCTAGCGCTTGTATAGTGCTCGTCCAGTGCTCGTCTGGTGCTCTGTCTAGTGCTCGTCCAGTGCTCTGTCTAGTGCTCGTCTAGTGCAAAAGCAGAAAAAGCAACCAAAACGGCGGTAAAACAGAAAAAGCAACCGCCTACCTACTTATGCCCACATTCGTAGGGTGCGTATATGCGCATGCCTACGCAGAAAGCGTTATGTTCGCAGGAGCTAAGCGTGGAATGCCTGTGCCTATTGCATTATAACTTTGATCAAATGTGTTTGAGGATTATTGGTATAGTACGCAGGACCGTGTGCGCGAGTGCCTGTGTGCCTGTGTTTGCGCCTTTGTGTCTTGATCTGTGTGCCATGTAATGTTGTGTCTTCTGGGTTGTGTCATGTGCTTTGTGGTGTGCGTGTTGTGTGTGTGTGTGTGTGTGCGTGTGCGCGCGTTCGTCATGTAGGGTTTGTCATCTGTTGTGTTGTGTGGTAGGTGTGCGATTTGATGTGTCTGTGTTGTGTTTATTTCAACACGTGTGCTCTGTGGTGCGTGGTGGTTGTGTGTGTATCTCGGGTGTGTCGTGTTGTGTGTGTATGCGGGGTGGGGGGATAAGCTCGTGCGTGCTTGTGTGTGTGTGTGGGTGGGTGAGCGCGTGCTTGCGTGTCTGCCTGCAGGCAGGTTAATTTGATGTTTGCGTGTGTTCTATAATTTATGACATATTCTCTCTGTGCTCGCCAGCGTGCTTATGGAATTGCTTGTATGCAGATTTGCAAGATTTGATGCGCCCGCCTGCAATGCCAACGTCTGCAACTGTGGGGTGTCTGCAATCAGGCGCATGGTTGTGTACGTGGTGCAGTGTGTACGTGTGGCTGCGCTCATTCCTGTGATTGGGCTGGCGCGTGCGTGCGTGCGTGCGTGCCTGCGTGCGTGCCTGCCTGCGTGCGCGTGCGCATGTGCAACTGCGAGTGTACGTGGACGCGGGTGAGTGTGTGTGTGTGTGTGTGTGCGTGTGCGTGTCTGTGTGTGTGTTGTCCTGGTGTGTTGCCGTGTTG